ACTTCTTTTCCACTTTCCTTGAGTCTTTTACTACAAAAAATGTAGGAATCATCCAAAAGACTTTTAGCATTTTAAAGTAATATAACGTATTAATTATAGAGTACTAAATGAAATTCCCACTTGAGTCCTTCCAATCCTGCCCCCCGCCTCATTTAGCAGTGGGTGCCACTATTAATGATATTAGGTATATTAATGCCAACTTTTTCAGGAGTTTATAAAGATAGAACTATATGTACTAATCACACCGATTTTTAAAACCTGGAATCATGCAATACATATTTGTCTATAATTTTCCTTTTATTCATAGCCATTTACTATGGGCTTCCTTTTAGTCAGAATAAGAAGATTATTATTCATTAGTTTTAAGAGTTATTCAATATTTTTTTGTAGTGGCAGATCATAGTTTATTCAACCATTTTCCTATTAATGGTCATTTGTTTTAGTATATTGCCATTGCACAAGAAAAGAAAGAGTCTTCAATGGACATCTTTACATTTGTATCTGAATATTCTTGTACCATCATTTCTGTAAGATAAATTTTGGGAAAAACTATATAAATGTATTTTAATAGATTTTTCTAATTTGCTTTTTCAAAAGACTGTAGAAGTTATTACTCCTCCCAAATACTCTTGAAGAATATCAGAGAATAGCAGTTTCCACATGCTCACCAACACTGGATTGTATTAATCTTTTAAGTTTTGACAATGTGATGAGTGAAATGGAATCTCATTGTTACAGAAATTCGCATTTTCCTGACCAATAAGGAAGTTGAGTACATTTTAATGTATTTATTATTTTTATGTTTTTCTTCAAATATTCCTTTTCATATTTTTGTCCATTTTCCCATTTTATATTGCTTTCAAATTTTTTATTAATTTCTAGAAGCCTTCTAAATATCAAATATCTAAAGATCTCTATTAAGTCTTCATTCCATGTAAAACATCTTCTCCCAGTCTTTTGAGTTTGTTCACATGTGTCACTAGCTATGCACAAATGTGGCTGGGCGAGGTGGCCCATGCCTGTAATTTCAGCACTTTGGGAGGCCAAGGTGGGAGGATCCTTTGGGTCCAGGAGTTCAAGACCAGATATTAGTTGGGCATGGTTGTGTGCACCTGGGGTTCAGGCTACTCAGGAGGCTGAGTCAGGAGGCTTGCTTGAGTGCAGGAGGGGAGGCTACAGTTAGCCATGATAGTGCCACTGCATTCCAGCCTGGGCAACAGGGTGAGACATTGTCTCAAAAAAACAAAAATGTATAATTTCTTAAATACAATCAAATCCATTACTCCCCTCTTTAAAATTACAGCTTCCCTGCATTGCTTAGGAAGCAATTTTTTATTTCCTATGAAAAATAATAAAATAATAATTTGCGTGTGAAATAGAAAAACTCCAGCTTCTAAGTGAAAATGAGAAATCTTATTTTTAAGCCAAAAAAGTAATAATGAATTCAACTCACATAGCTTCAAAAATCTAAAAAAAACTATAAACGAAATGACTATAACATATTCAAATAATACAATATGATCACATAAAGTTTATTATAATAATGTGAGGATGGCTTACTAGTTGGAAATCTGTTGATGGAATTTATCACATCAGTAGGACAAAGATTTAAAAACGTATAATTATTAATATAAATGCCCCCAAAATAATGAATCTGTATCCAATTTCCACTGCTGGTCGTTTAAAAAATACAAAAATAGGAATGCAAGAATAGTATTTATCTCAAATAGCCAAAATCACACTTAATTTGGGAAGCACTGGAATCATTAGTTCTTATATTTCAGGTACATGACAACTTTGCTTGTTTCATCACTATTATTTGATCTTGCTTGGAAAGTTTATGCAAATGAATAAAATTAAGAAAAAGAAATGTAAGTTATTTATATAGAAAAATTAGTCAAACTAGAAGAATGGATGATTTTCCACCTAAGAAACTTTAAATTCAAAAGATATAATTCAAAAGAATGAATAAGCAAATTCATTCAAGTGAATTTGTAGAGATGGGCATCTTGCTATGTTGCTCAGGCTGTTCTCAAACTCCTGGCCTCAAGCGGTCCTCCGGCCTCAACCTTCCAAAGTGCTGGGATTACAGGTGTGAGCCACCATGCCCAGCTAAAGTGGTTTGTAACAAAATACTTACACAACAAGCACTACATTCCTACATAGCATTAATTACACTAACTAAACAATATGCTAGGAAAAGCATCAATTTCCAGTAGTACAAATGCTATGAAGTAATGAGAAATATTTTAAAATGTCCAGGAAAATGCAGTATTTTATTAAGGAACATAAAGCTTTGAGTAAATGTAGAGCTATATCATGTTTCTTAAAGAAATATTACTATTTAAAAATATGTCAGCCGTGCGTGGTGGCTCACGCCTGTAATCCCAGTACTTTGGGAGGTCAAAGTGGGAGTGTTGCTCAAGTCTAGGAGTTTCAAATCAGCCTGGGCAACACAGTGAGATCATGTCTCTACAAAAAATACAAAAAATTAGGTGAGTGTGGTGGTGTATGTCTGTGGTCTCAGCTACTTCAGGAGGCTGAGGTGGGAGGATCACTCGAGCCTGGGAGGTCTAGGCTTCAGTGAGCCATAATCCTGCGACTGCACTCCAGCCTGGGCAAAAGAGTTAGACCCTGTTTCCAAAAATAAAAAAAAACAAAACTATGTTAATTTTCTACAAATTAATTTATAAATGTAATTTAATACTAACCAAAGGTCAAATGAGACACTGAAAAATGATTCTGATATTCATCTGAGTCTAAATTGATGAGATGAACCCTGAATATTTTGGAAACATAAATAATAATGACTTGATCTATCAGACATAGAAACATTATTAAATTATAACTAACACAGGATGGCACTGGTGGTGGTACTAAATGATGAATGGAACAAAATAACACTTTCCAAAAATATACCTCCAAATTTGGTATATAATAAAGGTGACAGTTCAGATCACTGTTACAACTTAAAAGACATTGTCTGCTTAATGCAATGTGTGCCCACAGATTATTCACCTCATTTCAATAACGATCAGTGTAATGGTTAATACTGAGTGTCAACTTGATTGGATTGAAGGATGCAAAGTATTGATCCTGAGTGTGTCCGTGAAGGTGTTGCCAAAGGAAATTAACATTTGAGTCAGTGGACTGGGAGAGGCAGACCTACCCTAAATCTGGGTGGGCATCATCTAATCAGCTGCCAACACGGCTAGAATAAAGCAGGCAGAAGAAAGTGGAAGAGCAGACTTGCTGAATCTTTCAGCTTCCATCTTTTTCCTCCCGTGCTGAATGCTTCCGGAACTTGAACATCAGACTCCAAGTTCTTCAGCTTTTGGACTCTTGGACTTACACCAGTGATTTTCCAGGGGCTCTTGGGCCTTTGGCCACAGATTGAAGGCCGCACTGTCTGGTTCCCTGCTTTTGAGGTTTTGAGACTTGGACTGGCCTCCTTGCTCCTCAGTTCATAGATGGTCTATTCTAGGACTTCACCTTGTGATCATCTCCTAATAAACTCCCCTTTGTGTGTGTGTGTATATATATATATATATATATCTCCTATTAGTTCTGTCTCTTTAAAGAACCCTAATACAATCAGCATACCCTATGTTCCCTCTTGCTTTTTTCGTTTGCAGTATCATTTGAAAGAAGGTTGTAAATACTGTTTCACCTTAACTATTTCAGTATGCGTCTCCTAAAGAAAAAAAACGCATTCTATGTAATCATCATATACTTTTAATGCCTAAGAAAATTAACATTAATTATATAATATCTAAATGCAGTCCATATTGAAATATTCCCAATTGTATAAACACAATTTTATTAGTGGTTTTATTGGATTATTTCAGACCAGAATATATTCCGAGTTCATATATTTCATTTGGTATTTTTGTTTCTGTAGTCTCTTTAGATCTAGTTCAGATATCCTACTTTTCTTTCATGACATTGAATTTTTGATATCTTGTAAATTTTTGTTCTATAATCCTTTAAAGTCAGGTTTGTTGAAGTATAATTTATGTAGTGTAAAATTCAACTCTTTTAGTATATACTTTTATGAGTTTTTACAAATACATTCAGTGATGTAACCATCACAATCAAGATAAAGAACATTTCTAACTCCCCAAAAAGTTCCATTGTGCCTCTTTGTTGTAAACACTTTCCTCTTCTGCAATATTCTGGCAACCACTGCTCTATTTTTATCCCTACAGTTTTGCCTTTTTAGGAAAGTCATATAAAGGGAATCATACTGCATGTAGCCTTTCAAATCTGACTTTTTACTTTCCATATTTGTTTGAGAGTTATCCATTGTGTGGATGTACCAAAATTTGTTTATCCATTTATAAGCGGAAAAATTTTTGGTATTCGGGTGTTGACAATTATGGATAAAACCTCTATAAATACTTGTATACAGGCTTTTGTGTAAACATATGTTTTCATTTCTCATTGGTAAACAGCTAGAATTGAGACTGGGAAATCATATTGTAACGGTATGTTAAATTGTATAAGAAATCGACAACATGTTTTCCAAAGTAGCTGTACCATTTTGGATTTCCATCATCAGTATATGAGAGTCCGGCTGGGTGTGGTGGCTCATGCCTATAACCCAGTACCTTGTGGGGCTGAGGCAGAAGGATCACTTGAGGCCAGGAGTTCAAAGCCAGCCTATTGGATTTTTAGTTGTTCCATATTCTTGCCAACACTTGCTATGTCACTCTTTGATTTCACCATTCTAAATAGTTGTGTAATGGTGTCTCATTATGGCTTTAATTTGTATTACTCTCATGAACAATTATGTTGAACTCTGTTTCTAGGTCTGGAAGGGATAGTTTTAAGCTGTCTGCTATCAGAAAGACTCTACCCCAGTGAAATATTAAAGCAATTTCTCCATTGTCTTTGTTTCCCCCTTTCAAGTCTTTTCTCTTTTGGCTGAGAAAATAAAACCAAGCCCCGATGCTTGTCTCAGTCTACTCAGAAGGCTGACAGAATTTTCCTAACACTGATTTTTTTTTTTTTTTTTTTTTTTTTACTTGTATGGATTATGTTTTTACTACCAAAGGAAGAGAATGAGTTAGTCAGGAATCATCTGGAATTCCTTGAAAATTATTATGGATGGTAGCAGAAATGATGAGCTCTATTTCTGCCACCCTCACTTTCTCTTTCACACATATACACATATGAATACCTCACATAGTCTAAAAAATGGTGGCTTTTCAGAAAATGTATTCCATGCTCACGTTCTATTCCAGAAACTGTTCTTCACTCCATAAACCCTCCCTTCAAAATTTCTTTTCAGAGTAAATCTTTTCTAACTTGATCTTAGCAAATATTCCCTTTAATGTGCCTGAAAAGGATTTTCTTCACAGACTACTCCCCAAAACTTTATCCATAAGAAAAAACTATGATGCATATTTCAATATTGTTGAGGTGTAGATTAAAATATAAAGGCACAGTTAGAAATGGGACATTTCAGGGGTGAGAGAAAGCTGGTAGGTAATAAAAGTAGATGAAACAGTGTGAAACAGGCAATGTAATTTAAAGTAGGTTTTGGGGTTAACTTCCCTTAGAATTAACTTCCTTTAGAAACAACATATTTTCTTGCAGTTCTTTATGGATTCTTGTCACTTTCCAATGAGTATGTGCTTTACAAAATTTTTTCAGTGAAGATTCTGACACACTTTACTCCTCCAAGTAAATTTTCCTTTTTTTTTTAATTTATAAAAATGATGGGGGGAAAAAGATGGGAGGATATTACTTATCATTTCATGGCTGACATGGAAAACAGCTATATTAAGTTTTTAAATAGAGGTCCTCTGGATCCACAGCACATGAAAATAGCACCTACCACTAATCTGCAGTTATGTTACCTATTGGTAACTCAGCAGTGAATATCTTTGATTCGTAGTGCAATAAAGATTCAAATTATTAAAATTGGACCCAATTCATTAATGTTTAGAGATGTCAATATTTACAAATGTTGATGACAACAGGCAGGAAATATATTGATTTGCCAGGGAAAATCACTGGCAAAAAAATGGGAATTTGGAAGACTTCCTGCCTCTTAGTATTCTCCCCAAGACACACACACACACACACACACACACACACTCTCTCTCTCTCTCTCTCTCTCTCTTCCAAAGTAAGACTTAAATGAAGATATAAAGCAGTTTTGAAAGGGAAAGAAGTTAGCAAGGACAGCATACTACCCATGAAAATGGTTCTCAAGCTTATAAAATGAATTGTCCTGGAGGGAGCAAAAGATCCTTACACCGATAATTTACTCATTCCCATTTTTCAATTGAGAATGGGAGAGGTGACTCAGTAACAACTGTTGTCGAACAAACAAATTTAAGGATACTATGTTTCAGGCCTGGCATGGTGGCTCATACCTGTACCCAACACTTTGCGAGGCTGAGGCGGGAGGATCACTTGACTCTGGGAGTTTAAGATCAGCCTGGACAACATAGTAAGGCCTTGTCTCTACAGAAAATAATTAGTGGGGCATGGTGGTACTTGCCTGTATTCCCAGCTACTCAGGAGGCTGAGGTAGTAGGATCGCTTGAGCCTAGGAAGCTGAGGTTGCAGTAAGCCATGATTGTGCCACTGCCCACTTTAATCGGGATGACAGAGTTATAACCTATATAAAAATAGAAAAAAAAGATGATTCCATCTGTTTGAACAATTGAGTATAGATAATATTTTTAAATACCTGTCCCCTTAGCTTACTTAACATGTAGTTAGTAGGAAATAATGGACCCTAAATAATGGGCCCTAAGTATGGTTGATCCATTTGCATCACAACATACTATAGGTATGACTGAACACACAATAACCTAAAGATGATAAACAATAATATATAACTAAAAAGCAAGTAGAACAGAATCAAGACCTACCCACTCCATACAACACTGGTGATATGTTGATAAAGTATCCTGCCATAAGTTTAAGAGAGTTTATATAATTTATGAGGCTACAGAGAAGAAAACTATCCACTCCCTAAGTGGTAACAAAAACCAATGCCTCATTACTTTCCTCAGGAGCCAAAAATAAAAATAAAAATAAAAAATCTAGGAATTACTAAAGCCAGCAGTATCAGATCTATTAGATAGGTGAGAGCCACCAGCAGTGGCTCTGATGAGTGATCTGCCTCACTACTCCTGCCACCCTTCCTCTCTTGCCCACCTGCCTCAGGAGGGATTACATATAACTTAAATGGTTATTTCCATCCCTCCAGTTTCTGGATTCTGGTTATAATGATTTTACCTCCAGACATAGGGAATGAAATAGGAAGGGGCAACCTGCTACTCATCAGACTCAGGGTAGAGCACACAAGTTTGGGACATAGACATTTCGTTATAATAATACAACAAATTCTCAACACATGGGAGTTGTAAAGGTGATCTGTCATTTCTGAGTCACTAAAAGTAGATTTAATAATCTGGCTATTGCGTGCAAGTATGTAACCATTTAAAAATTATATAATAAGGGCCAGGTATGGTGGCTCACACCTGTATTCCCAGCACTTTGGGAGGCTGAGGTGGGCGGATCACCCAAGGTTGGGAGTTCAAGACCAGCCTGACAAACATGGAGAAACCCCGTCTCTACTAAAGATACAAAATTAGCCAGGTGTGGTGGCGTATGCCTGTAATCCTAGCTACTCGGCAGGCTGAGGCAGAGGAATCGCTTGAACCTGGGACAGGGAGGTTGCAGTGAGCAGAGATCGTGCCACTGCACTACAGCTTAAGCAACAAGAGCAAAATTCTGTCTCAAAAAAAAAAAAAAAATTATATAATAAGAAATACAAATGTTATTACATTTAGGAGAAGGCTGGGCGTGGTGGTTCACACCTGTAATCCCAGCAGTTTTGGGAGGCGGGTGGATCATCTGAGGTCAGGGGTTTGATACCAGCCTGGCCAACATGGTGAAACCTTGTCTCTACTAAAAATACAAAAATTAGCTGGGTGCGGTGGCACATGCCTGTAATCCCAGCTACTTGGGAGGCTGAGGCAGGAGAATTGCTTGAACCTGGGAGGCGGAGGTTTCAGTGAGCCAAGATAGCACCACTGCATTCCAGGCTGGGTGATGGAGTGAGACTCCTTCTCAAAAAGAAAAAAAAGAAAAAAAAAAAGAGAAAAAAGAAATTTAGGAGGAAAAACATTTAATGTTAGGGAGACACATGCAATTTAATTATTTTTTCTATAAGCACTATTTCTGTCAGTTGAAAATGAGAAAATACTAATTATAGAATATAGACACACACAAAATTGAATATAAATAGTTGAACATCTTTGTGTTATACTAATTCCATTTAAGTAAAAGATAAATATGTGAATCTTAAGCAAAAAAATAAGCCCATACCTTTGTCTCAATTATCTAATTTATGTAAAAGTGGGAGAACAACAAATAGTCTGTGCAGGTATTAACTTCTGATTAGTTGTTTTCTTTCACGAGGTTAATCTTTGAATTATGGATACTTGATCATTTGGTTTCTGCTATTAAAACTACATCAAGTTTTGGTATCCATAGGACTGTATTTGAATACAAGCTTTATTTCACGTAAAAACATTTCCATTTGATGCAAAAACGAATTTCCAGAAATGAAGTGACTTAAAATAACACATTTATTCTCTCGTAGTTCTGTAAGTCATAAGTCCTGGCACAGGCTCAGCTAGGTTCTCTGCTCAGGTTCTTACCAGGCTGAAATCAAGGTGTCAGCCAAGCTGTGCTCCCTTCTGTAGTTCCGGGTATTCTTCCAAACTCATGTGGTTGTTGGCAGAATTAAGAATTCTGTAGGAAGGCGTGCTTTCTTGCTGACCATCAGGTAGGGGCTACTCTCAGTTCTTAGAGGCCGCCCGCCATTTTCTGCCATATAGGCCTCTCTACAACATGCAACTTTACTTCTTCACGGCCAAAAGAAAAGTATTTGCTGTTGCTTTCAATCTCTCTGACTTCTCCTTGACCCTCTTTTTTTTTATTTTTTATTTTTCTTTGAGACAGAGTCTCGCTCTGTCACCAGGCTGGAGTGCAGTGGCACGATCTCGGCTCACTGCAACCTCTGCCTCCCGGGTTCAAGCAATTCTCCTGCCTCAGCCTCCTGAGTAGCTGGGACTACAGGCTAATTTTTTTTTTTTTTTTTTTTGTATTTTAGTAGAGACGGCGTTTCACCATGTTGCTCAGGCTGGTCTCGAACTCCTGAGCTCAGGCAATCTGCCTGCCTCGGCCTCCCAAAGTGCTAGGATTACAAGCGTGAGCCACCGTGCCCATCTGCTCCTTGACCCTCTTTTTAAGAGTTCACTTGATAATGTCAGGTCCACCTAGGATAATCTGCCTTTACTTATTTGTTTCTTTTTGAGACAGGGTGTCTCTCACACTGTTGCCCAGGCTCTAGAGTGCAGTGGTGCAAGATCATGGCTCACTGTGGCCTTGACCTCCCGGGCTCAAGCAACCCTTCTACCTCAGCCTCCAGATTAGCTGGGACTACAGGTGTGAGCTACCACGTCTGGCTAATTTTTAAATTTTTTGTAAAGATAAGGTCTCTTTATGTTGCCCAAGCTGGTCTCGAACTCCTGGACTTAAGTGTTCCTCCTGTCTCAGCCTCTGAAAATCTGCCTTTAAAAATCAGTTGATTAACAAATTTAGGTGCTGGCAATTTGAGAGTAAACAAAGTAGGAACTAATTCTGATGGGAATGATAGTCAACTAACACAGAAACACCACAACTGCGGACTGTGGTAACTGCTGTGAAGGAAATGAACAGGGCAGTGTGACAGAGTGACTGGGGAAGAACTCTCATGACAGGAGGTGATATCAGGGCTGATATCATCTGGAATCTCAGAATGAATCAGTCAAGAGAAGAGCTTAGGGAAGAACAGGCCAGGCAGCAGCTGAACTTTCACATCACGTCTGAAACAAATTATTCAGGAATATAGATTGTCCTCCTGAAGGGAATTCTCTGGAAACTTGTTTTCCACTATCATCTTTGGCCTTGAGTATTTTAGCGAAAACACAATATAACATGGAATTAAATTTACTGAACACCTGGGTGTTCCATGATTTCAAGATGCATAAAACAATGTCTTTCTAGGCCATCCATCATATTTACCACAATTATTGGGATCAATGGCATGTGATCTTTGTTCTCTTTGTGCGTCACTGGTGCTATAGGATGTTTTAGATATTTACCACAACCACTATTATCCAACTTCAAGCATGAACACCTTTTACACAAGGCTGTCTTTTTTATAGGCAAATGTGAATTTCAAATTGAGTATAATCTATGTTAGCAAAGAAGAAAGAAAAACTTTTCTTTTTACCTTGTTTTGCCACATTTTAAATTTATATACTGGTGGCCGGGCGCGGTGGCTCAAGCCTGTAATCCCAGCACTTTGGGAGGCCGAGACGGGCGGATCACAAGGTCAGGAGATCGAGACCATCCTGGCTAACACGGCGAAACCCCGTCTCTACTAAAAACACAAAAAATTAGCCGGGCGAGGTGGCGGCGCCTGTGGTCCCAGCTACTCGGGAGGCTGAGGCAGGAGAATGGCGTGAACCCGGGAGGCGGAGCTTGCAGTGAGCTGAGATCTGGCCACTGCACTCCAGCCTGGGCGACAGAGCGAGACTCCGTCTCAAAAAAAAAAAAAAAAAAAAAAAAAAAAAAAATTTATATACTGGTTTTCAGTGTGAATCTCAGTAGGCCATAACTCAAATCTACCTCAGGTTGGGATATTATTCAAATATGTAACTATTTTATATTATAGAATCCATTATTTCACCACAGTAAGTTATTCACTGAAATAAATCATAAGAACAAACAATTTGGGGGTTTTCTCCCTATATTCATCATTCCCTTCCCTCTATGCAATTCAGAAAGAATTCATGAAATCCTGACAACTCCACAATCAGACATATTTCTCAATAACAACCTTACTTAATTATTCTCAGAATGCCTACATTCTTTTATTGTTTTTTGAGATGGAGTTTTGCACTTGTTGCCCAGGCTGGAGTGTAATGGCGCAATTTCAGCTCACTGCAACCCCTGCCTCCCGGGTTCAAGCGATTCTCCTGCCTCAGCCTCCTGAGTAGCTGATATTACAGGCAGGCGCCACTGGGCCCAACTAATTTTTATATTTTTAGTAGTGTGACGTTTCACCATGTTGGTCAGGCTGGTCTTGAACTCCTGACCTTAGGTGATCTGCCCACTTTGACCTCTCAAAGTGCTGGGATTAAAGGTATGAGCCACCACACCCGGCCCTAAATTCATACTTTTAAGGCTTCTCTACAGACCCTTTGAACAACTTTAACTGGCATCTAAGAGCTTGCTTCTCCTCTAGTCTGTCTTCTACATAGTAGCCTGATTATCTTCCCAAAAACTGAACAAAATCCCTGTCCTCATGGAGCCTATGTTCTGATTGAACCAAAAAATTTTTAAAACGTGATAATAAGCTATAAAGAAAATAAAAACGGTAAGGTGAAAGGGCAAAGGAGGGATTAACTTTAGATAGGCTGGTGACATTTGATAATAACAACTGCTAATGCCCTCCAGCTAAAGAGCAGCAGGAAAACAACTAGATTTAAACCAAGGTGGGTTTAATGACTTGTTGCAGGGAGGAAAAGAGCAATGAGGAATGAAGTTGGGCAGGGGCACTCTCACTAAGAGGGTATTGGTATTGTGAAAAACATTACAGGAATGAGCTTCTGTTAGGTGATTTTGGGGAAGTGTCAACGTTTTGCTTTGGATTGGATGCTGGCAGGAAACAGGTGATCCTATAACTGAGTATTTTAATATTTGCGATCTAGAAGGCAGGAAGAATGGATCAAGGTTAAGGTTGTAATTGGCCAAGAAACAGTGGTCACTTATATTAAAAAGAATGTTTGGTCATTTTTGTGGTTTAGAGACTGTTCTTCTATTTGCTGTGTTCAGACATGATTATGGAGGGGTCTTATATTTGTCTTGTCTATTGTAGTCATAAAGTGACTATAACTGATGTTGATGTTTTGTGAGACTGTTTATATTTGACAAAACACTGAGAACTGAGAATGCCAGGACCACTGCCAGTACCACAAATGCCTAGCTAATAGTGCCTATCCAGCTCCTGGCTGTCCGGGGTTGGTTCCCACTGCAACTCCGCCCCCTCTGCCCCCACAACTAGCAAAGCCATCAGCTGCTACAATTGTCTCTATAATTCCAATTTATGACTCTTATTCATAATTCTGTATCTTTAACATTTACAACATTGGTATTATTATTTAGGGTACTGAGTTCCAAAACTCATTACAGCTCTCCTGATAATAGTAGTAGCTTATTTAATCATTGATGAAATATACAAGACCGTGACTCTCTGCTATTTGCTGTGGTAAATAAAAAGAAGGGTTAGAGACAATCCTAAGCCTCAAGGAATTTGAAGTTTTTTTTGGAGAGAACTAGTGGTGTGATAATGGTGGGTGATGAGAACAGACATGCAAAATATCTCACCTATAAAAAACAAGTATCTTTTGTCAGCACAGAGTACAACAGGTAGACCAAAGACAATCTGCTTGTGGTTGAATGGTTTAGGAACTGGGAGTAACAAAACATATATTGTAAAATTTAGGAATGACTTCAGAACCCCCAGAGTCAGTTGCTTCATCTCTAAAAACAAGACATGGAAGTTGGATGGTATGTGTAGTTCTGATACATTTGCATGGTACCAGGCTGTCTGTACAGGAATCACATAGGGAGCTTGTTATCAGGTAGAGATTCAAGGGCCCCGTATCCAGAAAACATTAATCATCCTAAGTTTTTGAGATTCATCCATGCTTTTTTTCTTGGGTTGCTGAGTAGTATTTAATTAGATGAATATATCAGTTTATTAATCCATTCTCCCACTGATGGACATCTGGGGAGTTTAGTTTTTGGTGACCATGAATAAAGTTGTTACGGACATTTTTTGTATGTCTTTTTATCGATATATGCTTTTATTTCTCCGGATAAATACCTAGATGTGGGATTGCTGGCTCACAGGGCAGATGTGTATTTATATTAAATGCACAGGTCACATTTTTTTTTTAAAAATGAGACTGTGTTTCACTACCCTGCTCAAGATGGAGTAGAGCAGCTATTCACATGCATAATCATAACAAACTGGGCTCAAGCGATTCTCACACCTCACCAGCCCTGCTGTAGTTTGAAAGATAGGTACAACCACAACTGGCTCTGATAGGTTAACATTTTTGACATAAAGTTACAAAACATTTTATAATACTCTTGCCTTTTGTGAAAGTGCAGCCGAGTAGAGATGTCAAAGGATCTGTAATAAGTCCTCAAACACTGCTCTGGGGCCCTGGAAGATTCCCCTACAGGCAGATGGATGAAAGTTATGTGGATTATATGTGTAGGTAAATGTAGTTCAGGCAATGCATTTGATAGTGAATAGCGTGTATGTCTGTGAAACCTTTTGACAAATATTTGCTTCTAGAATTCCACATCACTGTCATTAGGCTCTGAAAGAAGGATCCCTGAATGTGACAGACTTAAGATTAGTCATTTCTGACAAAGAGGCCACAATAAACAAATGTTGGATAGCATGTTTGAGTGCAGACTGGGTGGCGCTGGCCACTATAGTGGTAATAGCAACGTAGGTTCCAACAGAGGTCTCTAAGTCACTGGGCCTTGAATATTGCAATACTGCTCCCTCAGTCAGCTCTCTCAAGTTATCCTTAGCAGATTTTTTTTTTAAACAGCTGCCACTTCACTTCCACCCTTCAGCAGGTAACCAAGCTCTATCTGAAGGAAAATAGAAACCATCAGAAAGGAACTCTCACCTTCCGGCTAGAAACATCCACCTATCTATATTCATCCTTTATCTACCTTTCGTCATTCTCTGTAATCACAATGAAGAAAGTGTCCTTCCTAAAGCACTCTCCATTCCACCTTCTCCTATTTCTCTCATTGGAGTCGCTCATTCCCATCGGTATTTGCTTCCTCCAATTCTTCGCTTGTGAAAGCTAACTTCTCCAGACCAGGTGCCGCTCTAGTAGCTGCCCTAGCTCTCTAGCCTCGATATAGTCAAACCTTCTAACGGACTGCCTGCACAGCTATTTCCTCTTTCTCATCCGACTCACCAAGGTTTGTCATACAGCCGGCACTGCACCGTCATGTTTAAAATATATAACAGATGGCTAGACAGCATTCCGAGGGTGCAGACAATAAAGTGATCTACAGCTTGTAGCCTGGGTGTTGGATGGCTCATTGGGTGGGGAAGCTGTTATCTTTCCACCGTGCACAGGTAATTTGATATATGCTTTCACTCTGAAATAAAGTTGTGGAAAGGCAGTAGTACGCAACAATTAATAAAACACAAGTGAGTAAACAGTGATGCCGCACAACCAATCAACCCCTCACATGACTTGGGTGCGTATCACCCACCGGCCGCATCTGCCACTCCGCCCAAGGCGCGGTCAGCACCCACGCCGGCCCTTCCGGCGGAACCCGCCTCGCGGCTTCGAAGTGGCCTGGGTTTCCGAGTCAGGGGTGGTGATAGAGGTGGAAGATGAGGGGAAGAGCCGAGCGGCTACCGGCCAATGGCAGCTCTTGAACTTACACCTCGAGACGTCAGCGCGGCTGTGTAAACGGATGTCACACAGCTGGCTCGGAAGTGTCTCCTCCCGCCTTAGAAAAGCGGCGCACGCCCAGCAGCTTCGGAAAAACCTTAGGCGGCTGGAGGGAGGGGCGCGCGCCGCACCCCGCGAGCCCAGAGCTCCATACCCTAGCCGGCCGGCTTCTTCCCGTAGTGCCGTGTGGCTGCCGTTCCGGGTGAGCAGCGGGCGCTAGCGTCCCCGCCACGAGCGCGCCACCGCAACTGGCTCCGCCCCCTGCCGGAACGGGCCGCGCGTTCCTGCGGCTCCGAGCAGAGTCGCGGGCGCGCGCGCCGGCGGCAGATCCGCAGTTAAAATGGTCCGAGCGGGACCCGGCCTTGCCCCCGCTGCCGCGCTGACTGACTGAGCCGGCTGGCCGGGCCCGGACTGGTCACCTAACCGGCAGGCTCGCTCGCTCGCTCACTCCCTCGCGTCCCCAAAGCTCGCGCCCATCGTTCTCCCGGCTTCCCTGGGCAGAGCATGTAGCCCCCGTCGGGCACTCCGGCGGCCCGCAGCTGACGCCCACCCCCCACCGTCGCGTGTGTGCCCGTGTGTGCGTGTGTGTGCGCAGGGAGGGCGACCCCGCCGCGGGCCGGGGGCCGAGCCAGCGAGCGGCCTGCCCCGCTGCCAGGAGCCCGCCTCTCTGGGTCTCCCTCCCTCCCGTCCCGGTCCCCCTCCTCGGGGTCTTCTATATGGGCCACCTTCTCTCGAAGGAGCCGCGTAACCGCCCGAGCCAGAAGAGGCCTCGCTGTTGCAGTTGGTGCCGCCGCCGGCGCCCTCTCCTCAGGCTGCCCCGCCGGACCCCAGCCAAGGTGCCCCCTCAACCGGCGGCACCCCGGAGCCGGGACTGCTTCTTCCGCGGGCCCTGCATGCTCTGCTTCATCGTGCACAGTCCCGGCGCGCCCGCCCCCGCCGGCCCAGAGGAGGAGCCGCCGCTCTCGCCGCCGCCGCCGCCGCGGGACGGGGCCTACGCTGCCGCCTCCTCCTCCCAGCACCTGGCGCGGCGCTACGCGGCCCTGGCCGCCGAGGACTGCGCCGCTGCCGCCCGCCGCTTCCTGCTATCCTCGGCCGCCGCCGCCGCAGCCGCTGCCGCCTCGGCTTCGTCGCCCGCCTCCTGCTGCAAAGAGTTGGGGCTGGCTGCGGCCGCCGCCTGGGAGCAGCAGGGCCGAAGTCTCTTCCTGGCCAGCTTGGGGCCGGTGCGCTTCCTGGGGCCGCCCGCCGCCGTGCAGCTCTTCCGGGGACCGACACCGCCGCCGGCCGAGCCCCCTACGCCCCCCGAAATGGTGTGCAAGCGGAAGGGGGCCGGGGTCCCAGCCTGCACCCCCTGCAAGCAGCCCCGCTGCGGCGGCGGGGGCTGCGGCAGCGGCGGCGGTGGTGGTGGGGGAGGGCCTGCGGGGGGAGGCGCTTCGCCGCCCCGACCCCCCGACGCCGGCTGCTGCCAGGGCCCGGAGCAGCACCCGCAGCCGCTCTGCCCCCCGCCCTCTTCTCCCACCTCCGAAGGTGCCCCTACCGAAGCTGGCGGGGACGCTGTCCGAGCCGGGGGCACCGCCCCCTCGTCCGCCCAGCAGCAGCATGAATGTGGCGACGCGGACTGTCGGGAGCCCCCCGAAAACCCCTACGACTGTCACAGGGAGCCGTCCCCCGAAACCCCAGACATCAACCAGCTGCCGCCGTCCATCCTGCTCAAGGTGGGTCTGGGCGAGAGGCGCAGGGATGCTCGCTTTCCCCCACCCTCGGCCCCCGCCTCTGAGGCTTTCTCTCTCCTCCCCCTAAACGCGGAGGAGGGGGGTTCCCTGACAGTCTAGGGACGTCCGAAGGGGAGACTGGGAAGCCAGTGGGGCCTCTGCGTATGACCTATTTTTTGAAGTAGGAGCACTTGGAGTCTACTGAATGTCTTTTAATAGCTTGACTCTGTAACCCACCATTCAGGGTTCAGCTATTATTAGAATCCCAACCCAGTCGTTTAGAAACTTCGCAGGTATTCTGTGGAAAAGAAAAAAAAAAATTAATCGGGAAGTTTATACTTAGTGGGTAAAGGCTTTGCGTATTAGTATTTGAAGGTCTTCAAACATTACTTTTATGTTTGATGATTGGTAGTTAATGTCAAACAGTTATTATTGAGCATTTACCATAATCAGGCGCTGCACCAGAACTTTATATATATAATATCCCATTTATTCCTTCAGTTAAAGCTGCGAGATAAATACTGTTAATATCTTTATTTTATACCAGAAGAAACTGACTTCTCCGTGCTGTGGGCCACTGTTTACAGTAGTGAGTCAGGCAGAAGTGGCCTTTGCTCCTGTGGAGCTGACAGTCTAGTGGGGCTTGAAGTGGTCGAATGACTTGTGCAAGGTCACATACAGAAAGTAAAGGGCAGATCTAGGTCTTGAATGAGGGAATTTAAGACCACCTGACTTTAAAACCCCTTTGTTTATGCTATGTTGTAATGCCCTTCTACAGTTTAGCCTTTGCATAAAAGCATGCAGATTACCAGAGGTAAGCGCAGATGTATTTTTTGTTGGGAAATGGGTGAGTAGAGGTAGGTGTCCTATATGAACTTTGTGTCATTTTCAACTATCAAGGATATTTTGCAGTTTTGTCAATGCTAGTGACAAACTTTAGTTACATAATAGAGTTTTTCTTAAGTTATTAACTTTTTTCCTCTTTTTCTGTCTTCTCCCACCCTACCCTATGTGGAGCTTAATAAATATAAACCATTTTCATTGTGGATGATACTAGAGACTATCCATAAATAATCTTGATAAGAATTTGGCTACTTTTACCGTTACTGAAGTAACTGTCAGTAATTACAATTGTTATTGTCACCAATATAGTTTCTGTGACTAGACTTTTTGCATATTTACAGTACTGTGTGTTTGGGTCTTTTTTACTGTGATATTAATGTTCTTGTGAATGATACAGCAAGAAGGTGGGAAAACTTACATTTCCTTGTGTCAAAATGTAATGATCTAATTCTTATGGAGGTCTACTTGTTGGAAGAGTAATTCCCTACTCTTTGTGTGCAGAGGTGCATTTTAGGACAAAGGGAACTTTCTTGAGTCCTTTAAATCACTGGATGATATGGATAAATAAAATATCAACAAATATTTGGTATAGAAATTTGATTGCTCTCTTCTTATTTGGCAAATAAGACTGTTTCAAAATGAACCAAAACAAAGCCAGGTACCTTCTACTTTTTTACTTAAACCATTATTTCATGAGGTAAAAAACATTTTAATGCCAAGAAAAAAAAAAGGGGGACATGGGCTCATAATAAAGAGAAACTCTAATAGAATAAAATAAACTTATTCTATTAATACCGCATTGTTCTTTTTCATATTTTTTCCTGAGGATTGTTGAAAACTTTGTCTAAAGGACATATGGGAATTACCATGGACTTGCCCTATTGTGTGTATTTGGACATGTTATGTAGATTTCCATTCCTTGTATTAGAAAACTCTAATAAAGATTCTCTGTCTGAGTCTGATGGTCCTAGTGGTATTCAGCACGAAGTGAGTTGTACTATCTGGGATGAATTGAATTAGTGATTGTTCAGTGTCTGCCAACCCCAGTTTTTGGGTGCAGAGACTCTGGATTCATAGTCCTGTTGAATGCTCTCTCTCCTTTAAGTGCAGTGCCTGGCATATAGTAGCACTCAGTAAATACTTACGAATGAATGTATGATCAGGTGTTTGGAGTCTGGGCTCTGAGACTCAGGGTGAATATGCCACACCACGAAGGGATATTTCTAAGCAATGTCCGTATTCTGACTGGAGTTACTGTTTGAGCCACGGTAGAGCCATGTGGTGGTGAAAGGGTTCTAGCTCTGCTGGTAAGGACTGCAGTTGTTTGACTTGGAGCAGAGAAGACTTAAGGAGCTATGACCATTTTTCTTTTCTAATATTAGAAGGGTTGTTGCATAGAGAGGCACAAGTCCATCATCACTGTTGGAAAACATTCTTAGAAATTACACCCTTTTCTCCTGGTAGTGAGTCAATAGCTATAATAATTGTATTGCTTTTGCTTCATCTTTTATGCTATGAAGTTACTATAGCTGTAAAAACAAACAAACAAACAAAAAAACAAACGAGGCGGGTAGAATTTGGGAGAGAAATGTGAGGATGTTTAAGAATTTAAAGGATTTTTTTTGGGAAAGCTACCATACTTGCCTTTTTTTTTTTTTTTTTAATGGCGAAGGAGAAAAACTAAACGATGTGTTGCATCCTAGACTGATTTTTGGCTCAATATCAGTAAGGATGTTTTTCTTTTGTGTAGGTTAATAAATATTACCTGCTTTAAAGCAGTCAAAAATGCATTTTAATAGTTTCTTTAAAAAGTTGTTTAGCTTTGGCAAAATACCCTGTTTTATGCTTATTACCCACATCTTAAATTTCTTCACTTGGATAAACCAAATCTGGATTTAGTCAATGGCCTGTGGTTTATAACAGCCATACCACTTTTACAAAAAAGATAACAGCTAAAGTCAGGCATGTTTCAGACAAGATGCTACTTGGTTCCAGTGACCATGCCCTACATGTTGATTGTTAACTGACAAATTAGCCCTTTAAGACCGCATAGTCCTTTAACCTTAAAAATATGATCTAGGCCTCCTAAATTTTTATTTTCTCATTTATAAAATGAGGAGGACGGGCATAAAAATATTCACAAGAAATGTACTTTCACCTGTGGCTGCATGAAGAGTTTGGTGAATCCTTTCCACACACAAAAAAGTATAAAACTGGCAAAATTGCCCAAAACTATTTGAACTCTGGAAATCAACCAAAAGCAAAGAAAAACACGGAGAAACATTTATTCTTAGGAAAACTGTTAGAGCTTCAGGTAAGAATAGTGCAAGTCTACAGCATTCTCATGTAGGCTTCTAATGTGACCTCCTGTCCCAGCACTTTTGGCAAGAACTGTAGTTTGGAAAACCAGCAGCTTTGCTGCCAGCGAGTTGATTCAATTTGAGGCAATGAATAAAAACCTTTGTCGATAAAATGTACTGAACTTGGTAGGGAAAAAGAAGAAAAAACCATGTATTTGCTCCTTTAAGGTTGTAGTGCCAGTTGGGGTGAGTGGAAGACATTAAAAGGCAGACCCTGGAAATGAGAGAACCATAAAGGGATGACCACTCCACATATCCTGGCATATTGTGGAACTATGCACATGTGTAGGGGAGACCTGAGGTTTTCTAACTGAGAGCAAGGGCCAAGGCAGATGAGAATTCTCTAAGCTTTAAATATGCCCTTCTTAACCCACACACAGATTGAAGAGCAGGCTCAAGCTGTTTGAGCATATCTTTGGCATATACATAGCTGAAAACTAAGCTATTCAGACACAGGATGACTCCCTAGAAAGCCAGGCTAAAATATATATATGTGAATTAAAATCTGAACAGAGGTAGTCACACTGCCCAGAACACAGATTCCACAGTTTAGGGCCAGACATGCTAAAAGGCTTGGAAATATACAATTCTGCACTGGCGGCCAGGCGTGGTGGCTCACACCTGTAATCTCAGCTTGAACCTGCGAGGTAGAGATTGCAGTGAGCCGAGATCATGCCGCTGCACTCCAGCCTGGCAACAGGGTGAGACTCTGTCTCAAAAAAAAAGAAAAAAAGAAAAAAATATATACGCTGGCTGTGTCATCCAAAATGTCCAGTTTCTAACAAAAAATTTTAAGACACGTAAAGAGACCCATACTGAGGGAAAAAAAAGGCAGTTAATAGAAACTGACTCTGAGTGAGCCTAGAGATTAGACTGAGCAAAGACTTCAAACTGCTATTATAAACATGGTAAAAGAAAGGAAACATTA